CTTTTATTGGCAGAATCTGATATTAATTTAGTTCTTACAAAAAAAAGGGTCCCAACGTGGTTTGTGTGGCGTTGCCATAGTGTGACATCATAGGCGCAGATCCCCTGTCCTCTTGTTTGAAAATGGAAATGTGGTCACCCTATAAACAAACTGTCCACCCGGGCTTTTGCGCTGCACAGAGACGCTTCGCTGCCTATGACTTTAAACGTCAGTTGAGAGTCAGTCTCATGCAGACTGACCAATGAAGAGAGGGCCTCAAGTTAAGACCCTCTCCTCATTGGTCAGTCCACACGAGGTGGGTCAAAGGTTACCGTGTGCGGGTTACGCGATGTCAGGCATTCAAGTATTGAGTACATTTACTGCATATTACAGTAAAATATTCTGTATGTGACCATATTATGGTGATCCTTGGGTCGTGATGATGGAGCCCTTGAATATTGTTGCCCAGGGTACAACAAAGCGTTAATCTGGCCCTGCACACACACACACACACACACACACACACACACACACACACACAAATTTCTTTGAGCAGATCAAATTTAGCACGATCATGCTTTTCTCAATGAGAACATAATCAAGAAGAAGGGAGGGAGAGGGGATGGGCGAACGAAGGGAGGTGAAGGAAAAAGTGACAGTCATCGAGCACACGCCCCACACACACCCTCTCTGTTCACCTCGTTGCCAGCCATCCTGAACCAAACCTGACAGTTATTCAATTTTCTCAAAGCTAAATCTAATCTGCAACTGTCCGTCACTCGCTGACGCGCCGCTACGCTGGAACGCTTCAGCCATCACCAACGTTTCGCAGCAGATTGGTACCATCATGGAACCTTCCTCCTCCCCTTTCATACAAACATACACACACATTAAACAGTTTATACCAAAAGAAATGAAAGTTTAAATGAAAGAGCCAGATGATATTGGTGTTAAAAAGCAGCAATGATAAACGTACAAATTTACATCTCAGAAAAAAATTTCTCCTAAATGTCTGATTTTATTAATTTACTGAAAAAATAAATCCTATAATTATTGTAAATCCCACTTTGATTGTAGAAGCTGAGATTTTATCTCAAAACCTGTGTAAATATTTTAAAAATCTGATTTCAAAATATTACTTTTGCTTTTCAATGAGATATTTCACCTAAAAATAGAAAAAAGAAACAAATATGGTAAACATGGTTTTGCACATTTTTATAATTACCCCTTCAATCTAGCTTTGTGCACGTTTCCAAAAGGTATCTGCTTGTTCAGCTCACCTCCGGCTTTTTTTCATTCCTTTTTCGTTTTAAGGATGCACTCCACTCAGTTATACACTTTCCTTTGGAATATTGACAGCAGGCATGTCAGTGGCTTGCAGCACAAAGCTGTTGGGGAGTGAAAGAAAATGTTATATAGCTCCACTTGCACACACACACACACACACACACACACACACACACACACACACACACACACACACGTTTTCTCACCAAAGCAAATCGATTCTAACACAGCCTTGTCACACATCATTACACCTTCCTACCATCCTCTGCTCTTAAGCTCTGTGTGTGTGTGTGTGTCTGTGTGTGTGTGTGCGTGCGTGCGTGCATGTGTGTGTGTCTGTGTGTGTGTGTGTGTGTGTATTTATGTATGCAAACCCAACACACTCAGAGCAGGCATTCAACAGTTGCTACAATTCTTCCTTCTCAGATTAAACTTGTGCTTTTAAAACCATAAAGACAGACATACTTGGACGAGCGCAGACACACTGACTGATTGTGTTTTTCTCTCTGCCATTACGAGTGGATTGAAGTTATTCCCGTGTAGCAAAATATCTTTCCACCTTGATTCCTGCAAACCGTAACGTCATTTTGGGGGAAAGCTGGTCCAACCATTAGTGAACAGCACACAGAGCCAGCCATCGCAGCCAGGCTGGCTCATCTGGACAGGTTGCTCAATAACACATGAAATTAAAGATTTCAACAGAATAACAGTGTGTGTAAAACACACAAAGCTAGTTCCTTCTGCCATTTTTTGATAATTTATTTTGTCTCAATCCGATGTCTTCTTTCTTTCGCACAAGTGTTATTGTAACACTGCTTTTGTAATGAAGATTGTATTGATTTTTTTTTTCATTGGTCCTGACTGGTACAACCTTGAAACAAGAAATGTTTCCAGTGAATTAAGGCAGTGAAAAAGAATTAGATAGGTGAGGTTTACATACAAGAATTTAAAAAATGTACTCAAATACATGAAATTCAATATTGTCTTACTTTAAAAAAAGTTAAATAACTTACATTTCCTGATAATTCTGCAGCTATTTCACATAAATATGCTGATATTATTCATTTTTATATGCCTTCATGAATAATTTGGTCACATATCAGTTTAGGCCTCTGTGCATTTTGATTAGGACTGCACCTAATAATAATAATAATTAAGATGTTTATATCTAGAATTTGTGTTATCATTTATAATTAACAAGTCCTTTTGTACTTGTTAGGAGTACGACTTGTTAAAGATAATTAAATCGGACGTCAAGCATCACATTAATTCTATGTTAACACAAAGGGAGAATCAAATTCAATTTGCTGCAGTTTTACTTAGACTAAATTAAACAAAAAAGAGTGACAATATGTGTTGCATATTTTTCAAACTTCCAAGTTTTAAAGACAAAAATTCAACAATGAAGCCAGGGGGTATTTTATGACGTTTTTCTTAAATGATTATGGTTCTATGGTCGATACAAGTTATGTCTGCAAAGTCAGTGAGTCTGCTGCAGTTTTTTCTTTCCTCCATGACACACTGATCCAACTGCATGGTCAACCTGCTCAATAGCTCTCTATGTTCAGAAGCACATACTTATGTAGCAAATGTTGTTTTTGATGAAGATGAACAAAACAACACAGGAGTCTCACGGATGAACTCCTTCCTCAGCTCAGAGCCCAACCCCCAATCATGCCGTATGTTTGTTGCCACTTGTGGCATGCAATGTCTTTTATGTGAAACTACACAGCGGGTTCCTCTCTCCTCATTTAAATGATAAACGACCCGCGCTTGTTCAGTGCCTTTCAGAGTCAGAGGACTCCAAAGCACTTTACACTACAGTGTATCATTCATCCGTTCACACAGGCATTCACACACTGGTAGTGATTAGCGACAATGCAGCCACGGCTGCCCTGGGGCCCACTGACAGAGGTGAGGCTGACGAGCACAGGCGCCACCGGTCCCTTCAACCACCACCAGCAGGCAAGGCGGGTTAAGTGTGTTGCCCAAGGACATGTAGTTTATTCTATTTACACAAAATCTGCAAAATATAATTTGACTTCTAAATATCCAATTAATAAATTACAAGTATAATAATTTTAATCATTATTAATAACAAACTACAATTGTCATCCCATAGTCTGTCAGTGAGTGGCATTCTCCAGTTAATGAAGTGACACACTGGAGTCCAATGCATTAGCACTGGAGCCGTGCCATAACATATTATCTAGGATAAAATCAAGGTCTGATGGCTGATTTTTGTGTGTGACAACGTCAGGATATAAATGATTTTTAAACAGTTTGCATTTTTGAAGTCATATTGTAATTGATACATCTATTTTCTTCCTTTATTCATTGAAACGAATCTTATTTTTAAAGCAGTGATTCTGAATTTCATCTCCATGGGAGTTTAGTTACACTCGGGTCAGACAGATAACCGAGGAGAGACTGAGTCCATCTGTCTCGTGCCCAAGGGAAGCCTGCACACAGACTCACACAAATACATGATTCAGTCTTTTCTCCTCAGTACCAGCCTCCTCTCCGAGTACAACAGCTTTCCAACATATCTACCTATTTAAAAGCATATGTGCCTTCGGGTCGGCTGTGCAGCATTCCTACGTTGTACCAGCCTCACAATAAGACACAGAATAAAGAACACTGTCGCAAATGGGCAAAGCTTTTTGTGCTCTAATGAGCATTTACACAACTTGTACATCTGCAAACAGCCGTGCATCATCAAAACAATCAGCTTCACAAGATGCACTTAACCGACCAAATGGTCCTCTGTCTTTTCTTCACTCAATTAACCCTGCAGCCTTCATTTGCATTTCATAAGGAGGTTGTCACTCTGTGGGAGGGTTATCTTCTTTTGGGAGGCAGAGTAGAAAAAAAAAGATGAGGGGGTGAGTAGTTTTCATTCTGTAAAGAAGATAATACCACTCATCTGCTTTATCAGCAGCTGATGAAACCCACACTGTAGGCTTGAGCTGTGCGACTCTGTCTGGTCACGTCTTTATGCATCATGTCAAAACTCTATCTGGCTTAGTTTGTTGTGGGTCTGTCCATTCATCAAAGCCTTAAGATGCAAGTTTGAGCTTTATCCACTAAATATCCATTAACCAGCACTAACTCAGGCTTCATTATCTGACCCTCCATTAGAAAAATCTGCATTCCACCACACTTAAGTATTGTGTTTATACTGAGCAGGAGATGGTTTAGAGATGACAGCAAAGAGGCACAGAAAGAAGTGAAGGAGGTGTTAGAAATGTAGGAAACACTCAGCTAGATAGCAATAAAACGTGCTCTTTCCTTTAACAGTCATTTGTGAATGCGTGCGCATGAATGCATCTGCCAGAGTGCTTTAAACCCTGACGTCTGTTTAAATGGCACCGAATAAGCTTTTAAATCTGTGCCTACGATGTGCATTACGAATTCTCAAGTGGCTAAAAAGCACAGGTCCTGGAGTTTAAGAGATGAAAATGTCAGAAATTATCCAACTCAAACTGTTGCTCTTACAGGCTGTTTTCATCACATCCACACCACAGTTTTAATATACACTTAAAAGTGAATATATACGGCACTTTAATTGTCAGAATTGCAATTGTGCTAATAAATAATGGGTAAAAGGGATTATTTTAGGCATTTGGATTAGCAATGCAGTCAATAAACCATACTTCAAGGATTTAGGGGAAACCTTAGGCTAAATATTTTCTATTTGAGCCCAGAAAAGTTCCTTTAGACCAGCAGCTCACCTTTTGCAGCAGCTGGGAGCCAGAGTACTTTGCAGAAATGGACTTCATCTCACCACCAAATGCTGATGCCCACAACTTCACCCTGTAATTAATAACACATAAAGAAAAAAGGAACTGCATTAAAGAAATGTACATTATTATTAGAATACGTCTGTGTACTCTTTCATAACAAAAATGTGTCAAAATTGAAATTAATTCATAATAATAATATATCCTAACTCTGTCACACACACACACACACACACACACACACACACACACACACACACACACACACACACACACACACACACACACACACACACACATATATATAGTTTAGAAATAATAAGTGAACGATTACGGCATCCCGGTACTTACACGGACGCAGGGATGCTCTTGTGGGTGCCTCCCACCCCGCTCGCCCCGACGCTCAGAGTTGAGAAAAGTAAGAGCAGCCAGGTAAACCAAGCACAGCAAACCGCGCATCTCCGATCTACCTGCATCTTTTAAAAAATCTCTTCCACCTCCTGCGCGCACAATGCCAGTTTGGGGGGTTTATGTCGCCAGTGTTTTCCCTCCTTTAGAGAGTCCAAAATAAGAGAAAAACTGAAATCACCTCTACTGGCTGACAAAATATTTCATGACATTCTGTTTAGCTAGTCCATGAGCTGAACGCGTCTTGGCCAACTGCGGACCCCTCTGCTGTAACTTCTCAGGCGCGCTGCGCTGCGGTGCTGCTCCGCTGACCGGTGCGCCGCACGCGGATCTGCTTCCAGACCAAAAATCCTCATGCGAGGAGAATCTGCTTTGATCGCTTTGATTGGTCCAAGCTCGCCCCCTGAGAGCACCACCGTGTAGGTTCGTTGGGTGGGGTGGGGGTAGAGTAGGGAGGGGGACATCAAACGATGCGGCGCGCAGAAGAACACGCCCACTCCTCCTTAGTGACGCGACTAACCTCACCTCTGTTCACAAATCTCTCTCTCTCTCTCTCTCTCTCTCTCTCTCTCTCTCTCTCTCTCTCTCTCTCTCTCTCTCTCTCTCTCTCTCTCTCTCTCTCTCTCTCACACACACACACTCTCACACACACACACTCACTCACTCACTCACACACCCTTACCCTTTATCTAGACACTGGTTGGCGGTTTTGTTGTTGAATTATACCATACTCCCCCCCCCCCCCCCCCCCCCCCCCCCCACACACACACTCTTGGTCTCTAATGCGGCAATAATAGCTCCAGCCTTCCGCTTTCAGGTCACATCATGTCATTTACTGTATGCCAGTTCACTGAAGCAGGAATTAGAACTAAAGTGCTGGCAAAAAAAGAGGGAGAGGAATAAAAAGTGTGAAGAATAAAAAAAAAATAAATGAATAAAACCAGGTAAGTGGAGAGTGTCCAGCTAGCAGAGGATAAGTCAGTTCTGCATTAAAGCATGCCAGATGCACTTTGCAGCAGTGATGTGGCACTAGCAGTGTGTGGGCATGGGTGGTGGAGGAAGAGAGCCTTCTTAAGCCTTTTTAATTCAAGTTAAATCACCAAAACTTAGAGCTACTATAAGTGCATACATTTTAACTGCATATCATTTTTTTTATTGTCAGAACAATTGTTAGTATTTAGACATACTTTTTTATAGCCTTCTGCTAAGATGCATTTATTATTTCTAAACTATATAACAGAGACGTTTCTAATCACATTTACATTAGCTAACTGACAAGCCATATTAGAAATCTAAAGTATTTTCTGTAAATAGAGTAAATAAAACCTAGTAAACTTGGCTTCTTTTTCTGGTTGTAAGTTATGGCCAAACATCTTAGTTTGTTGCTGCTGATGGGAACTGAAATGAGGCAGTTTAGGCTTCTGCTTCCATAATTGTTTTGAAGGTGCAATGAAAATAGGGTCATCCAAAAAGTGGATTTTATATCATTTAATTACATGTAAATTTTTCTACATTGAGTCAAACATCCACTTTTAGGGTAACCTAGGTATGTTTAAGGCATGTCAGTGCTATAAGGCAGCTTGTCCTGAGAGCATACCGGGACATGTGCTGAGGGACTGCGCAGAACAACTGGCTGGGGTTGTCACAAAGATCTTCAACTTGTCATTGTCCCTGGCCTCTGTCCCACACTGTCTGAAATCCTCCACCATAGTCCCCTTACCAAAAAAATCACCTGTAACCTGTTTGACTATCGGCCTGTAGCACTCACTCCAGTCCTGATGAAGTGCTTCGAAAGACTGGTCCAGAGTCATATCATGTCCTTCATCCCTCCCATCTTTGATACTCATCAATTTGCATACCAAGCTAATAGGTCTACTGAGGATGCTGTAGCTGTTGCTCTCCATGCTACTCTGACCCACTTGGATCATCATGGGAACTGTGCATGCCTCCTCTTTCTTTGATTGCAGCAGTGCCTTCAACACTATCCTCCCTGACAGACTGGTGTGCAAACTGTCAGACCTGGGGCTCCCATACTCCAGTCTTTGGAGAAAGGACTTCCTGACAGATCGTAAACAAAGGCTGTGTCTCAATTCAGGGTCTGCATCCTTCGAAGGACCCAGCCCACCCGGCCGACGTGGGCTGCGTCCTCCGTCGGCCGGGTAGACCGGATGTTAACGGCTGTGAATTTGGACAGGCCTAGCCTTCATGAACTCCCTCGGCGAACGTTCCGTCGCCTAGCAACCGTGGAACCGCTGGGCAGAAGGAACCTTAAACGATGGAGCTCGACGTTTTATTTAGCTTTTTAACCCCCAGAAACCCAAATTTAGAAAACAACTGCAAAATATTTTTAACCTTTCACATGTTGTTCTAGGAGGCCAGATAAACGGGCCTATTTACACATTTTAACAGCCAATAGTGTTGCAGAACTGAATAGGACCTATTAGCAATGTAAATGTGGTTTTAAAAAGAAAAAAAATGGGGAAGGTTTATTTTTGTAGACTTAAATCTGATGTTGTGATACTACAACCGTGGGTCTCTGGGGGTTAATCATTTCCTTGACTGTTGGAGAGCTAATTCAGAGAAAATACTTTAGACTAGCTGAGCCTGAGCAAAGATGTGATAATAGTTTTTAATACTTTCTAAGGGTCTTAATTTGACCAAAACCGATTTATCACCTTTTAAGACTTTTCAAGACCCAGCGGATACCCTCTAGTAAACAATTCTCATTTGTAAACAAAAATAAAATTCAAGAGTTTAATGCAGAACTGATTTTATTTAGATATTTCTTTTATATGTACATGTTTAATCTTCATTAACCATTTTTTTCTAGCAAAGTAAAAAGCTGTCAAAGTTCTTCCTTCTCTCCTGTGCTCTCTGCTGCTCTGCAGCCTCATGTCCTCCCAGATCAGCTCCAGAAGCTCATCGCTGGCACCTTCCCCTGGATGCCCATTTTCTCCAGAATACTCTTAACAAACATGTAAGAAAAGAAACATGAAGAGAAAAGAGGACAACGGGTTATTCCTTTCATGTTTTCGCAGAAAAAAATATACTCAAACGAGTTTTTAAAATATGAGATGTTATTGTACCTCCATGCCACAGCCGCCGAATACTTTGCTCCGGTGATCATGTGGTCCATCTCCGCCCTAAGCTTAATAAATTCCCTGGTTTTCTCTTTTGGTCCTAAAATACAAACTTCTATTAAAATCAGGGGGAAACGTAGTGGGAGAAGTACGACACCGAGCGCGGCCGAACATACGAGCCGAGACCGCAATACAAGCACTTTTACTGTAACATTTCTAACTAAAATAACGTTCATGTATCACAAAAAGTCCTTAAACTGACAGTTTTCAAGTTTATACTTACATTTATATGCGCAATCCTCTCCGACAGCTCCCGCTTCACTGTCCGCCATTGTTTTTAAGTTTTTCTGCCGGCCGGCCCGCAAGGCATCTTGGGAAATGCTACCTATTGAAGGATACACCCGACCCATCCTTCATTCGGGCGAAAAGAAGGCCGCATTCGTCGACCGCATTTGAAGGAGTCTTCGAATTGGGACAGGCCGAGTCGCGGCGCTGTGACGTAACCGGCCGACGAATCCGGCCGAGGTAGGATGCAGACCCTGAATTGAGACACAGCCAAAGGGTCAGGGTGGGCTGGGCTCCCACATTTCCTCACCTATCACCGTTAGCACTGGCTCCCCTCAGGGTTGTGTACTGAGCCCCTTGCTCTTTACGTTGTACACCCACGACTGTGCACCAACTCATAACAGCAACATCGTTGTGAAATTTGCAGATGACACCACTGTGGTGCGGCTCATATCGGAGGGAGAAGAGTCTACCTATAGGCATGAAGTGCAGCGGCTTACAGCATGATACACAGAGCACAACCTGCTCCTGAACACAGCAAAGACGAAATAAATTGTTGTGGATTTTAGGAAAAAGAAAACTCATATCTGTCCACTCTTCATCAATGGCGACTGCGTGGAGAGGGTGTCTGATTTCTGCTTCCTGGGTGTACACATCACAGATGACCTGTCCTGGGGTGTGAACACAACAGCGGTGGCAAAGAAGGCTCAGCAGAGACTTTATTTCCTGAGGGTCCTCAGGAAAAACAGCACCTGACAAAAACAGCATCTGACAAAAACTGCTGATGTCCTTCTATCCCTGTTCCATAGAGAGCATCTTGTGCTACTGCTTCTGCGCGTGGTTCTCTAGCTGCACATCAGCACAGAAGAAATCACTCCAAAGGATTGTGGAGACCGCCCAGCAGATCATCGGCTGTCGTTTGTCTTCTCTGGATGAACTACACAACTTTCGCTGCCTCAGGAGAGCGGAAAGCCCCCTTAAAGATCCCTCACACCCTGCTCATGATTTGTTCCAACTACTGCCATCAGAAAAAAGATACAGGAACATTAAAACGAGGACAAAAAGACTACACAGCAGCTTTTATCCTGTGGCTATTAAGGCACTGAATGGCAATTAACACCACCACCACCCCACCCCACCCCAAATTCTTAATTCAATTTTATGTGTAAACTGGTGCAATATTATTATGTATATATTGTTAGCTGTATTTCACACATAGTCAGTGTGAAATGATTCAAGTGCAGAGGTTCATGTGCAGTACTGCTCTCCCTTTTTATTCTTTTTTATATATATTTTTAGATCCTTTTTTATCTTTTTATATTTATATATACTTTTTTAATCTAATTTTTTGTTTTCAATTTTGGACACAGGGATTGCATCTAATTTCATTGTACTTGTTGCAATGACAATAAAGGTTATTCTATTCTATTCTAATCTGTTATTGTGGTTGTGTCCCGCCATGAGCAGTGTTGCTTTTGGAGACTCTGATTCTGATATTGCATCTTGCTCTGCTGTGTCTGTCCTCGCACAGGGCAGCTCAAGCCTCGGCAGTGCTGTCTCAGTGTGTGTATGTGTGTGTTTGTGTGTGCTCTTGACAGGACATCTGAAGGGAACTAGTACCTTTGGGTACTTTATTGCAAGTAGCCTGTCAGAAAGACACTGCTTATTTTTTATGATTCTAAAAATCCAAAGCAACAGAATCTATGGTCTATAATCTTCAACATTAGTGCAACTGTATTTTTTGGTAGTACACTTTTACTAATGTTTGTGCAAACGTAGTTCACTAAGCATCCAGAGGTGTCTTATTGCTTGGGGAAATTTAACATGTAATGAAAGCTCAGGTCTCTGGAAATGACAGGTATAAAATTATGTCAGATATTCACTTTCTGGTGCCTCCAAAACCCCCTGAAGCACCATAAGATGTTTGTAATCCCCAAGCCGTTGCAATAAAAGCTCTTTGCATCACCTAAAACACATATTTTATGTGTGGAGTGAATGACATCCTTGGTATATTTTACATAATGGCTCAGAGACAAGCTGATTTTTGTCTAAACCGCGACGTCTCAGCCAGAGGCGAGTCCCAGGAGATTTTCTGGACAAATGGGAAAGCAATGTAGGAGGCCAAAGTGATTTGTTCACACAGCATAGTCAACCTTGAACCCAATAATGAGCTGACCGCCGCCGTGGTTAAGAGATTATTCATGCAGGAAGTATTATTAGAAGAAGTAACTATGCATGATTACAAAGAAGTCCTAGAAGTATTGGCATGGCTTATGTCAGCCAGGGATGAAATTCATCTGGTCCTTCAAGTGATTCTTTCTCATCACTGGATGCCCACAGCAGCTCTTGAATTTCTTCATCTTCTGTTCTCAAGGCTGTAATCACATCCATTTTCAGAGAGCAGAGTGTACCAGAGACACTGATAGCCGAGTCGTCAGAAAAAAGTAAAGCACTTCAATGATGACAATAATAAATTTTCTTTAAAAAATACTTTCACTGTCTTTTATTTATTGTTTATTCTAAATAAAAATAAAAGATTATCCAAGAAAGTTAAAAAGAATTATCTAAAAAATAACAAGTCAGAAATTAGATTTTTAGATTTTCCCAGCATAACAAAGAAAGTGGCATTTTCACTCTGGGTTGGGCCTTACAGTTTACCTCCAAGGCTAACTGATTCTGTTACAGCTCATTAGCCCCGAGTCAATTCTGCATGTCGTTATAGAATCACAGATCATTGAGAAAGGATAAGAATACTCGCCTGACTGAACCGTCCTGGACACGGAGTTTCAGCCCACATCCATTCACTTTTCTGAGAGGCTGCCAGCTGTGTCTGTGCTTGAGCAACATTGTTTTTCTTATATCCCTAAACAGAAATGAGCTGAGGCTCGTCAGTGCCAGAAATGTTCACGTCATAAATAATCCTAGTCACCTGGCTCAGAGCTCACCTGTAATATCTCCCTTAAATAATCATGACTTCCATGCACACTGGCAGAGGAACAGCAGCCCTTGGAAAAACGCATCGTCATGGATGAGAATCTGTTGTTTGGAAGATTCATGGAGGGCAGAATGTCTGACATACATACAGCAAAGGTTAGTCACCCTTTACCTGCTGAACAAAAAGAGATAAACAAAGAAATAATTTTTTTTCTTCTTCCGGTAGAACTAGAGTTAGCTGAGTTGAAAATGATGGAATTAGAAGTGATAAAAATTAATAAAATAAGGAATAAGTACATCAATGGGACATCACTTCTTAGACATTTTGGCGATAAAATCAGATTAGATGATTTGGATGTGTGGAAAATGTATTGTTTGAGGAAAGATTAAGCTGGGACTGCTAGGACAGAGACCTAGGGAAAGACCAAAGTGCAGAGGTGCTGCGTGATGGCAGGCAGAGCAGGCAATTGCTTCAAGACCCCAGAGGGCTGTCAAACTTTATACGTATCATTTGACAGCACTGTTGGCCATCCCTCATCGCATCCTCCTACTCTCTCCTGACTGCTCTGTTGCACGTTTCCTCAGCTGCACCCCCTTGAACAAAGAAATAGGGCACCTAAGTCACGCCCATCTACTTCGGGACCACGGATCCCCAGAAGAACCGGCTGCTACAAAGAGCCGGGGGAAAATGAGCAATAACTGAGAATAATTTGATAATCTAATACTAAGGGCATGAAACTGAAATTAAGAATAAACTAAACAAATAATAACTAACACGGTGGGAACAACAGCTAAGAGAAATACAGGGGTGAAAGGTCATGGACACAAAAGGAGGATTAACAAACAGGAAGCTGACAATACTAAGGTACACAAAAAAGGGAAAGAGAAAACTAAAGAAACAAAACTATTCACGCAGGAACGGAAATGGCAGAACTGATAAAGTAAAGAAATAAAGTTAAGAAATTATTGTAAAGAAAAATCTGAATAATAAATGAGGGGACCGGAGACTAGGGAGATATGTAAGGGACAGAGAGGACAAGGACACCAGGGAGGAGAAAGCATGGAATGAACTGGGGAGACAAGGGACACAGGACATGACACTACTCAGGTTGAATTATTCAAAAGTATTTATAGGAATAAAGTATAGCAGACACTTTTTGTCGAAACGTTAGTTACGTTTGTTTGCACCTTCAGGACCAGTTTGCTCCAGCCATTCTTCCTTCTCTAAATGGGCTGTCGAAGCACCTGTGTCCCTAATTGGATGATGCGCAATGTGCTCATATAATATAGAATTCATTTACTTTTAAAGTTAGCTTCAGCTTAAAGATTCAATTCAATTCAAGTTTATTTATATAGCGCCAAATCACTTCACATAATAAACATTCCAATTCAGGTTAGTTCATTAAGCCAATCAGAAATAATGTTTCCTGTATAAGGAACCCAGCAAATTGCATCAAGTCACTGACTAGTGTCAGTGACTATACAGCAATCCTCATACTAAGCAAGCATAAAGCGACAGTGGAGAGGAAAACTCCCTTTTAACAGGAAGAAACCTCCAGAGAATCCCAAGTGGTGCTCCAGAACCACAAAGGCGGAGCTGCACCAGAAGGTGGAGCTGCACCAGAGTCAGCCCCGCCCATTCCAGAATCAGCTCCGCCCATTCCATAAGAGTCAGTCCAATTCCTTCTAGTTGTCAGACTTGATAGCATTCTGGAACCAAAGAGGGTGTTATAGCTAAAAAAATTGAGGACAGAGTTGAGAAGTTAATTGAACAGTTTTTGTAAAGGTTCCATATAATTAAAAATCTAACTTTTGGAACTTTTTATCATGTTATATGGTCATTTCCTCATAAGAAACACGCCAAAGCCATTTTTGGCCTCATTCATGCATTGTCCTCCCATCTCAGCTTCAATTTGGTCTCCTCCCCCAAAGCGGGTCTGGTCTTGGTTCTCAAATCTGGATATTCTGTCAATTTTCTGACAAATTATTTCTGAAATGACTTCTACTGAGACACCGCCAATAAGCCATACATCCAGGGTCCGAAATTAACACTCGCCACTCGCCAAATGCGAGTAAATTGCTCCATTTGGCGAGTAAATTTTTGAGCTCTACCTGCCACCTGGCGAGTAAATGTTTGCACCAAATTAGTTATGTTTATCAGTCATCTTCCACGGATTTCTGATACTCCTCCCGCCTGCATGCAACTTACACAAACGTACGCGAAACGTAAACGCCGCATCCAGCGTCATTTCCACCTATCCCATTCAATCAGTTTATCAAGTTAGCCGTTAGCTTCGTGTTAAAACTAGCGGTGAAATGTGGTGGTTTTTAACT